ACTTAACTTATTAATTGAAGTTAAGTTAACAAAATGTTTTAACTTAGTTGTTGTGATTCTCATGTGAATTAACTTAATTTTTAACTTAATTGAAAGTGGACTCAATTAACTTAACTGAGTTAAAAAATATCATTAACTTTCCTAGGTTTTCTGGATACATCCGTTTACTAAATTATGTGTTTACAGTTATTATTACGACAAAATTCCGCATGTAAGTATTGATCAATAAATCGCTATGTAATGAGACGCCGCATTTACGATATTTTGTTATTACGTTAAACGGAATAATTTTTGTCTTATGCGAGCTCAAATGATTAAACGCGGTGCCGGAGACGTGTCTATCGGTCAATTTAGTTGTCAGTATAACGCAAGGGTTGGAAATTAATGTATATGGCGGTTCAGATAATTTTGAAAAAATATTTTGACGGCCAGAAAAAACTTAAACCTAATTTTATCAGTAATGTATATTTTTTTTTTTATTAAAAACATATTTTAAGACATACGATTTAATATTTAATTATTTATAATCATAATAAAAAAATTGTATACTTAAGTTTAATGAGAGATTTTCATTTCTTTTCTTGAGCTAATTTTTTAAAATCTGCTACTCTTGGAGAACAACTGATGAGCAAAGTGATTTCAAGGTGTTGATCAGTTAATCTTGAATGGTATTTATTTTTTAAAATGTTATTTTGGAGAACGGAGTAAACTAGCAAAATATTTTTGGCAGTCCATTTATTTCCCTACTGCTGCCCGGATATGGCCCGCGGGCCGCCTATTGCCGACCACTGGTATAACCATAGCTGTAAAGAATACTTTTAAAAAGTATTTAAATAAATACTCAAATACATTTTTTTCAAGTATTTAAAATACTTCTCAAATACTTTAATTCTATAGTATTTCAAATACTACTCAAATACTTTAAAAAAGTCTTTGGAATACTTTTCAAATACTTTTGTAAAAAAATATTTGGAGTAATTAGACCATGGTAAACTAACATTTTGTAGAGAAATAGTCGAAAGGGATACATTATGCCGTTCTGAATCACTTTCATCATCGGTATTTTTGCTAGAATTACTCTTATTATAACTTGAAGTAATTGTAGTAGCCAGTAGGTTATAGGTTGTGAGAAAATCTATGTTATTCTTCTAATCCCGTATAACCAGACTGATATCGTATCTAGTAATAACAGTTACCTATCTAATAATAAAAAAGGAAATTTTGTTATTGAATATTTATTTTTAGAAACATGGTTTTCACAAACCTTCGAGTTTTGAATATAGATGGCAATATTTTTCTAACCAAATATTTTGAATAAAAATAAAATGTTCGAAAAAAAAACAAAATATTCAATACAAATTAGTATTCAATAGAAAAAAAAAGTATTTAAAATACCATTGAAAATACTTCGTTATGAAAATATTTTAAAAAATTATTCAATACTTAAAAAAGTATTTAAATATTTTTATTCAAATATTTTACAGCACTGGATATAACGCATCGAAATAATGATAACGCTGGGGTACTGCGCATAAAAAAAACGTACATGTTTGCTAGGCCTATGATTTAAAAATAATGTAAGGTTTGACGTAGAAAAAAAAACAAACATTATTTTAAATAATATTATTTACAATTTTCGTTTACGTTTTTTGTACGTTTGTTATTTATTGTTAATCTTTATTTATGTTTAATAATGATGATATACTATATTTATTGATATTCAATTATTTTCGTATTTTGTTAATTTATTTCGGTTTATTTTTTTTCATTTTATCCGTCATAACGTTATAAATAACGTTTTGAAGCCCTGGTTATATATAATTATATACTTAGACTCACAAGAAAAAAAACTTATTGTATTATGTATTATTAGCATACAAATCCAAAAAGAATCAAATTCAATTTTAAAATTAAATCTATATAATATATATAAATTTTTTTTTAAAAAAAAATATTATATATTATTTTATTCTGTTTAATATTGTATATTTTATGTGTAACTATTTTTTTCATTATATAACTTTAATTCCATTATCAAAAAGAATACTAAACAAGAAAATAATATTATTCTTTATGCAAAACTGCATATTTCAAAATATGCCATAGACACAAAGAGGAAAATAGAAAATAATTATAATATGATTCATTTTTTTCTGGAAAAAAAAAGTTACCATATACATTATATGATTAAAAATCGCAATACATTACGAGTATCTTGGATACTTATGCATTTAGACAATGTACTGCAATAAAAAGTAAATATATAGTAACACGCATATTGAACAGATAAAAATAAAATAATATTTCTTTTTTGTTTTTCGTAAACAGCAATATGGTATGACAACATTATAAACACTTGTAATTTTTTTCATTATTCCATTATTGATTTTATATCGCATAAGAAAACACGTTTTCGTTTCCTATAACCGACTAGATACCTATCGTAATACTTATTATCTGTATTCAATATTCGTGATATAACGGTGCTTGAAATAGTTTGAATATAGTACTATCTACAAGACCAAGTGTTTCAGAAAGATTCTGGTAGATAACAATAGGACGTTGTGAGTTCGATTAAGATCAGAAGGAATTTTAGAAAAGAAAAAAAATAGAAAATCACGACAAATGTTAATGATGACATTGAGTTATTTTTTTTCACCCTCAAACATTGTCGAGGGGTAAAAATGTCCAAGCCGTCTGATCCATACTTTTGCCTTATCTCGGTTGCATCACAGTCCATTGTTTTTGCCAACTGGCGATATATATTTTTTTCTTTTTTTTTGTTTCCGTGCATTTCAATAAGCCTTTGAAGAATGAAACGAGTGGGGGAAGAAACTTTTATCTGAAGTTTAAAACTGGGATTAAGAGGTATCGATTTTTTTCTTCTTATTTTTATTTTTTACATTCATTTTCAAACTAGAGTTTCGAATATAGTTCGAATATAGTTAGTTTTTTATTTTTTATTTTTTATTAGATGCGCAAAGGAGAAAATCATGTCTGGTGCCAATGAAGTAATGACAATGGGACTATTGTGGCCACGTCAAGTCGGAACTGCCATTCGCAAAAACGTACGTTTTTGACAGGAACAACAGCGACGGTTGGGCGAGGCGATGGTAGGTAACGGCTAGAGCTGCTTGTTAGTGTCGAAGAGTTTGACATAGCTGATGCACAGGGACTCAAAGTTCGTCCATTAGAGTAGGACGACGAAAAAAGCACTGCCTCTGCTACACCGATATCATAATAATTTTTTTGGCCCCTCGAAACCATTTTGCATTATGAACATATTTTCGATTGTCCATAGCCAAACGGAACGAACCCAGCCGAGCTGCATCCAATACGCAGTTCGCCGGATGAAATATAATCATCGATGAACCATTAATTAATTTCACACGTATTGGGTTTGTAATTAACAACAGCTATAATTAGTATACGTAAAGAAGATATTATGGAATATTTCAACGATATTATTCTAATCAGTTCGTTTTATACGACGTAATCTTGTTAGGTCGTGATTACATAAGCAAAATATTTTATACAAACGAAATGTTTCGCATTAGTTAGTAAGTTTTTATTTATTTTTTCTCCAAACAGTCTTTCTATTTAAAAAAAAAATTAATTTTGTTTTATGATTTTATGATTTGCACGCACACACAAATAACATTCTATTAGTGTCGGTGATTTGGTTTTTCCGAATGTGAATTTTAAGAAGTGTTTGGAAGAACGTCGTTGGTAAACACACGTTTGTCGCATCATTTGTGAACGACACGCGAACGTCACTGGCTTTTTTCAAGTAGAACGTGAACGAAGTATATACTTTTGATGAAGTTGAACGATTTTAGGGGCATTTAAATTTATTTACCATTTGAAAAATACACGTGTAAATAATAAATATTGACTATAATATGTTTAAGTATAGGTTTTAAACAAAAAGTAAAATATACCTAATACATTTTGTTAAGGTCCAATTTATACAGAAGCAGGTTCATTACGGTAATTCGTATGTATAAAATAAAAAAAATTAAATAAACCTGATAATTTTTTCATATACTTGAACGTCGACGTATTCACTTTAATAAAAAAATGAACATGAACGTGAACGAGTTTTTTGCGCACTGGAAGTGAACGTGAACGAGTTTAATTATTAAATGAATCTTCCAAACTCTGGTTTTAAGGATATCTACATAATACATCGGATAGTTCAATGATTTTGATGCATTTTTGACGATCGACATTCGTGGTATTATTTATTTTACGACAAAATGCATCGGAACACGTGCAAGTTTTGGAAAGCTTTGAGATATAACATTTGAAAACAAAACACGTACACTAAGTGAAAAATCTAAATATTTTGGACAAAACGACACGCCAACACACGGTTCTCGTGTAGCAAAAACAAATAGAATGATATGCTAAGTAAACCATATCAATTTAGAATACTATTTCAATATACTGTCTCCTCGAGATAAACCATGAATCCACAAATATAATGATTTTAATATTAGTTGTAATAATATTGTATTTTCCGTAAAATCTTTAACTACACGCGATAAGCGTACACACAAGAACAGTTATAGTTTAACCGAGTTTTGGTTTAAAATTGATGAATACGTCACTAAAATACTTGCGTTAAATAAATAAATTTTTACAATGATATGGTTGATTCCAAACGTCATAAGTTTAAAAGTAGTTTATAGGATTTCAAAATCGTCAAGAATACTCGTATTTGAATGAATATGAAATAAACATACAAACACAGACAAATATGACATCACATCACACGCATAAATCTGCTTTTAAGTTTGAAACCTTTTTACTGTTCCCCTTTTCATATTGAATTATCAGTTTCAATATTCCTGAGTATAACATTTTAATTATTTCACAACCAAATACTATAAACAAATGTGTAGTTATATAAAGCGTTTATCGGAATAAAAATTATTATATTTTACAGAGGAAAAAAAAACTTTACTTATAAATAACGAATAGTATATAAAACCAACCTTTTGTTTTGGTGCTAGAGGCGTCTTTGATTACTATTTCTCTACCGTCTTCTCGTCTCCATAAAACATGCGGTTTCGGGTAGCCTTTGGCTCTGCATGTTAATTTCACAGTTCCTCCTTCGGGCACCATTACGTCTCCCGAGGTGTCTTCATAAATAATATCCGGTGGTATTACCACGTCCAAATAGCCCATCTAATGCGCATAAATAAATGTTAAATGATTTTTGTGTCATGATTTTAATTTTGGGAAAAGATTGTACTGTCAATCGTGATAATAGAATTCTATGCATCACAATGTTCCTGTTCATTGGTCCGTGGGGAAATATTTTGCTTACGGTTCTGCTTTCATCAAAAATTACATTTTATTTATTTCAAAATGTATGATATATTAGTAAAGAAAGAATAATAAATAACGAAAAAAAAACTTATCAGAAGAGTTAATAATAATACATTTTATATACTCGTATATATATTTTTATCAAATCGTTTTCTCCGACAGCTAGTAGTGTGAATAAACCAAGTGTAAAGATTAGCAATTTTAATGAAATCTTTCCATGCAACGAGAAAAATTATTATTTTGAAGCTCGAAAATAAGTAGAAATAATGTTAATTTCGATTTGCCCCATCACTACGCAGTATTAAACCAAAGCCATTACATAGAATCCGGAAGTTATTATATTTGTTTTATTTCGAAAAAAAATAACGAACTCGATATCTAAGCTAAAAGTTATTAAAGAAATAAATATATATAACTAACCTTTTCTGATGCATAGAAAAAATATAGCTTTCACTATTGAAATTTATTTTAGATTCATTAAAATCAACAGTGTTGAAACATGTCCGTGAAATACCGATGCAAATGGTTTGGTATTTATTTATTTATATATTTTTATAACTTAAACTAAAAATGAGTGAAAGCTTCGGTATTTACATTATAATACACTTGTTCCAAACTCTCTATACAATAATTCGTAAACATAGATTACCTGGCTTATCATTGGATCAGTGTTGATCTGACACATATACTGACCACGGTCTTCTTCTTGAACATTTTTTATATGTAAATTCCACGTAGAATCGTCGATATGTGATACAGACACACGGGAATTGTGCGTAATGACATGATCATGTATAGCTTGAATTGCTTTTGTATCAGCTTTCACCCAACCGACCTGAAAAATAAATACGCACATCCGTTAAGGATAAACAAAACATTTATAAACAATATTTGAAACGTAGGTACATAAAAAAAGTATACATATATAGATTATAATAAATAAATGCTTAGCATTGGAGTATTATTATATTTGTAAAGTACAATAGATTTCGAATAATTAAAAATTCATCGTCAGGTAAATTATTATTATTATTTGTTTACGAGTACAACTGATGATGAATTTTAATTCCAAACCAGTAGTACTTCACATATTTAAAACTCTAGGCCAATAGTTTATCTATTTGTTTATTTATATATTAATTTACGAATTTTAACCATTTACTATGAAAAACTACAAAATTTTAGTACCATATCATTAAGGTTTATAGAAATATCTATGAAATTTAATTTACATATTTAGTTTAATATACATTTATTGAATTTCGATTACACATCAAAGAAATTAATATATGTTATATTTATTTTTTAAGAATGAAACCAAAACACTACAATATAGAAATAAAAAAGACGAAACCAATGAATAAAATAAAACCAATAAAACCAAGTCTAAGAAAAACTTTTGAAAATATTGTGGCTAAATTTGAAGCCATTGAGTCTTAGAAGTCTTAGAAACTTGAAGAACAATTGGTACGTCTTTTGTCAAACAAAACTTTGAACAACCATTAAAATTGACCAAACGGTTCACGAAGTAGAAAGGAAATTTAAACAGATTGATACCATCATTTATAGGAATGATTGAAAGTAACATGCAATATGACTTTGAAATTAGGAAATCGTAGTTATACAGAATTTTAACGCAACATATAATGAAAATTATAGACGTTTTGTGCAATGTGGACAAAAACTTATACGAAACACCTTATCAATATTATACTTTATTTATTTATTTTTCCTTCGGTATCAATTATTATACATTGAAAAATGTTCATCAAAGTTGACGGCAACAAGTTATTTTGATTATCGTAGGTAGTTATAACACACACGTGTACACGTGTTATTTTCAATTTTCAATACCGAATATAAATCTCAAGAAAATCAATTTCCTAACTAACTTATTGAGCAACATAAAAGTTTATATAGTAAAGTTAATAATAGGTTGATATTTTTAATTAGTAAACGTATTTCAATTTACAGGTTTTACAATTCACGGAAAATAACAAATACCATGTATAGTAGTATACCATGTATACAACTATGTATACATACAATAATAAGCTTATTTAAATATAGCTTTTTCACGATGTGTTGATATGATATTAAACCAAAGAGTAATATTTTTTACTATTAATTACTTAACCTAATGCAATATGAATTGAAATTAAAATCATTAGTATATTTATTTATGCATATATAAAGTAAAAATTGATAATAACACACAACTTATATTTTCAATATAAGTACCTAATTTAAACAATAATTATAAAAATGTCCAGGTAACGATTGAACATAAAGTTACGATTGCTTTTTTTTCTGATATATATTTGAAAACAACACATCAACTACCAAAAATAAGTATTTTTTTTTTTTTACATTTTTCAATAGTATTATAAATAGAGATTCATACTGTAGAATAGTTTTTGAATAGCCACGTCATTAAGGTAATCACGAAGGACACGCAATCTGTCATTTTTAAGTGATTTCATATCCACCCTCGCACGCTCTAACAAAACACTTTTTTTTGTACAACTTTTTGCTTATAATTTTATTTTTTTGTTTTCAACTGTTTTCAATTAGCTTAATAATTTATAAAATGTAGTAAGCACGGGCAGATGCATTTGATTTTTATGATCAACAGTGAAATGATTAAATTTGACATAATAATTGGCGACCAAATAATAATATTTATTACAACAGTTATCATAAAATAAAATAGACTTAAAGATTATGGTCCTAAAGGACCTAAAGGCTTAAACGAAAAACGTAGAACATGACTTATTTATGTGGTCCTAATAAAATCATCAAACCAAACGAATCGAATTTTGACGAACATTTAAACGTTAATGGTATAACCCTAATTACAGACGATGCATTATAATTATTTAAATCTATGGATTTGAAATACTCTAATCATTAGAGTCCAATACATCGTTAATCCATAATCAGTTGTGGCGCAATAAGTTGAATTATTCTGTGGTATAACAGAAGATAAAGTCAAAAAACTATTCACTTACACTGGTTCGGATAATTACTATTACAGCTTTGTGTCTTAATTTCTACGTACAGTCGAAACACATTGACGATGTGGTTATGGTAATGCGATTAAAAAATGATCTCGTGTTCATATAACGGTCCGGGGTAAGAATATCATATTATATTCTGAATATTTAAGATGACCGAAAGAAATAATTTAATATTATACCTCTGAAATGAAGTTTTTATCGATGATAATACGGTAACCGTTGGTTAGCGAAATTATTAAAAATGTAGTCGTCTCAATCGAATCGGTATTTACTTTTGAAAACAAGACGCACTCAATTCGAGGACACTTGACGATCTGAATTTGCCATCAAACCTAAGTAAGCCTTTCCACTTTACATCCGTAGTGCCGGGTGCGTTATTTTATATCAATTTAACGAAACGTTTGAATATAGTCGTTGCCATAAAAGTATCATAAATCACTCGCCGCCAGTCGCCCTCGAATTGCTTTTCCGGTTGTATCTTTGCAATGGTTTATACGTTCAAATGTACACCAATGGCCACCCTTTCCTATCGTGCACACACGTGTGGCTATTTTGGTATTCAAGGAAGCTAGCGTGGAATTTCGTATCCGGATGTATTCCAATCGTTTGCCATGCAAAACAGGCTCACCCTGAAATAATAATAACTACCTGGTCTCCACAATAATATTTGCAATCCACCGTTATATTACACGTGTTACTTGTCCCGCTTTATTATTGGTTTACCGCTTCTCTTTCTCACTTTCTCACTCTCTCTCTCTCTTTTTCTTTCTCTCTCTCTCGCCCTCTCTCTTTCCCTTTCTCTCGTCTCTATCACTATCTCGCCCTCCCTTCTTTTGTTACACTGCAGTCTCAGAGTTCTCTCTATATGTACTTTTGTAGCACGCAAAATCACTTTTCAACCACCAATTGTTACCCTACTAAGTGAATAACTCGGAAAAACGTTTTCATACCACTTGTAATAATATACGATATACCATTTTCTTTTATAGTGTAAATATTTACCATTCCCTTATTCTGTACTATTATCGGAATCGGCCATTATATTTAATATTTACACATTATACGCGCCTTATACTCACGTGACCATTCTCTGAAAGTTTGTCTATTACAATCAATTATAACACATAGTTTTCATCTATGGGCTTGCTTTCGACCACTAACTTGGTCACATAATGAATATTTAATAGAGATATTTGTTTTGTAACAAATATTTTTGCATTTTATCCAAAAGTCAAATAATAAATAATAATATTCATGAAATTTCAATTCTCAGAATTTTATCAGGAAAGAATTATTTTTCAATGGACAAATGTAAATTACGCCCGGTATTTTTCAGGTATAACGTTTTGTGTAGTAAATTGCGCTCTGTATTTTTCAGGTACAAATTTTTGTATAGTAAATTGCGCCCAATAGAAATATTATTTTTGTGATAGTCATTTAGCATTACCCATGAGGAAGCGGTTATCACTGTTTCCCAAAAATGTTTTTTAGTTTACTTGAGATGAATAAACTAATTAATAAAAATACGAAAATTAATTTTTTTTTTAATATCATGGTAGTAATAAGATATAGTTTTTTTTAATATTTTTTGTTAGGTTAAAAATTTTAATAATAAAAAATACTGTTAAAAGTTATCTGCATAGTAATGAGACATCATATTTTACATATTCAGGACTCATAATAGTGCTTTCATTATATTGTTGAATAATTTGGTGATTTGAAATTTATAAGCTTCATTTATACTATTAATTTTTATATAAATTTCAGATTGTAACTCTAATATTTTATTCATAAAATTATAAATATGAGGATGAGGTGTGTAAAAGCATTTATTAAAATAACTGTGGAAAGATTCACAAGCATTAGTTATCCGAGTTAATGTTGCGGAAGCTGTTGACCAAATATTCGGAGTAAAGTCAGCGAATAAATTTTATTCAATAAAATATAGCAAGAAAATTGTTTAAGTCGATTATCTTCAGGCGTTGTAGGTATTAATTCATAGTTAAAATAATCGCAAACATTTTTTGGCTCTAAAAATACTAAGTAATGATGAATTTAAGGTCACTTAGATAGTAGATACTATGGGGGCAATTTACAAGTATAATATTTTTTCTACCTACTTAATGTGGGCGCAATTTAAAAAGGCCCTTTTCAACATTATATACGTATAGTATAAAACTCAATATTTATGGATTAAATTTTTTTAGCTGAATAATTTTTCAAGATTTCAATGATTTCCATAAGAATTCAGATTAAACTAAAAAAAATATCGCAATTCCTTTGAGTTTGAAATTTGATGTACAATGATTATGTATATATATAGATTTATGTAGGTAGATTGAAATACAATTGAGTTTCTATTTAGAATTACAACAAAAAATGTTAATCTTATATAATTTCAACTCAAAAATAAAACCATCGCGATAATCATTCCTTGACTAACATTTACACTCCTTGAGCACTTAAAATATAAAATTATTTTTACGCTAATACGCATTTTACAATACACTGAATTTTTCTCAGAATAGCTCTTCATCACTTCAAGGATATCATTAGTTTTAACTTTGAAGAAACCGATCATTTTAGTTTCCCGAGTAACTTTACCAGACTCTTTCCTCGTTAAGGTTTCTATTATTGTAAATCAGTTTAAAATGTGTACGAAATTCGAGATAGGTATATACTGTAGACACTTTAAATTAAAACAATCTGTGAGCACATTTACGAATAATTAAAAATTATGCACATTTGTATTTTGCGAAATACAATAAATTTTGAATGAAATGATATCTTTAATAGTATATTGAATTATTTACTATAAATTTGAATTTTATGTACAAGTGTCACACATGTTACACACGTGTTTCAAATTATTTAGATTCCAATGCCATAATAGTAACAATGAATTCAAATTGCATGGCACGAAAAATTCCAACTAGTTGATTACACAACGATTATTTCTTTAATACGAATTCATCTGTAAATGCGGCACAAAAGAAATAAATATTTTCAATCGATATTAAGAAGAATTTGAGAAATAAATGATCGAAAACCATAATATGGTATATGCCATATTATGGCATTTATTGTGCATGCAGTATTTAATGGGACTTATTAATTTTACTTTAAATGACTCGAGAACGTTAAAGGAATATATCTAACTAAACATCTACATGAATCTTCTAAGAATAGCTACTAGAGCTTGCAACCGTATATGTCGCCACTCGCAAAACTTACCATTAGTTACTGAAATCTAAAGAATTCCGGTTGAAACATACGCCTACTTTTACAGAACGATACGATTTGGAAATAATATTATACGATAACAGTAAAACGAATAGACTCACCCTATAACCACCTAGGCTGTGGACGTAACACGTGAACATTGCTTCTCGGCCGACGGGCACGGTAATGTTACCGATAGGTTCCGTGAACTTTGGTTGATATCCATAACAACCTGTGAAATGTAATCATTGTTCATTAGTTTCACATTATCTGGATAGAAACGTTTTGCAAAATATTTTCCATTAGAATCTATTGATAAAAATCTCTAAAAATGCAAACCTAAAATCTGTGTGCGAAATGTTAGTGTATCGTGGAGCGATTGCAAAAAATATTTTCTCAATAATAAATCAGCGACATTGCGCTTGGTGTTAAATAACCCGTTGTTTATAATTTGTGATCGTCACTACCAAAATTATATGCTCATTGAACATTGTCGCCTAAATGTTTAGACCGTTTACTACTGTTGATACTCGATAACAAAGAATTATGAACAGGAAAATATTTCCCACTTATTAAATTGTTATCATTCGAGTCGATATAAAAATATAAAATGCATGGAAGTATCTGATTGTTAAATTATTTATTATACTAGTAAAACGCTATTAAATAGAAGTTTATTACGTTAACGGTATGTGTAAATTATAAATAACAGTAACGTACAAAAAGAGAAAAATATAATTTTGTATTAACAGTGTTTTTCATTAACTTATTAATATTCAATTTTTATACACAAGTATACGTTTTATTCATAACGGTTTGAACTATATATATATATATGTTACGGGCAAAGTGGAAAATTCGGACAATGTATACAATGTCCGAGGTATAATGGGCAATGTAAATTGTGAAGTATTTATACAAAATAATCTGCATAATATATTATGTTTTTATTGCAAATTATTAATATTACATTATTATACATAATTAATAATCATCAATATAACATAATATAATATATTAATATTATTTTTTTTCTTATAAAGTATAAATAGTTATCCTTTGGTTAAACACTAATGACATTTTGTGAATGCACTACATATCCCGATAGCGAAACCGATAAATATCTTATCTCATATAATTTTGGTACGGACAATTTTACATTAGTTGTAGTATACTGTCACTCGGTTAATATTGTGCAGTGCTTAAACAAACAAAATGTATTTATTTTCTACATTTTATTTAAAATGGAATAATTTAATGCGAAATGGAATATTGTATTAAATGAAAAAAATGTGAATAATATGTATTTAACCAAATTAAAATACGACGAGTCAATTGAACATATAATTAATATAAAGAATAGTTCCCAAAAATTGAAGCCAAATGATTATAAACTCTTGAAGAAATATGATGTAATAAAAATATCTGAAATTATCAAATTAATTGTTCCAGTAACTGCAGGTAATAATAATTTTTATATTAAATATAATATATTATCATTGATTATATATTAAATTATTATATTATTAAATATTTATAATATATACCTAATCAATGATATTATATACTAATTTAATTATACTCGTTTATATGGTTATTTATATAAGAGTATTACAATTTTTTTTTTAATTAATTAAATTTTAAATATATTTAAAGGTAATGAAATAACATATTATGTGCATAATGTTCAGTTATATGATATTATACATGAAGTTTATTTGTCAATTGGACATGGAGGTAGAAATAGAATGGAACACGAGATTAATAAAAAGTATAAAAATATAACTAGAGATGTAATAATGTTATACTTAAATAATTGCGAATCGCGTAAAAAGAAGGGAAGTACAGCTAAAAAAGGGTTGGTTGTAAAACCAATCATATCTTCTGAAATTAATTCTCGTTGTCAAATTGAATTGATCGACATGCAAGCACAATCAGATGGTGATTTTAAGTTCATATTAGTTTATCAGGATTATCTAACAAAATATATATTGCTCCACCTGTTAAAACACAAACGTGCCAAAGAGGTAGCTTATATATTATTGGACATTTTTACAACTTTTGGCGCTTCTGCAATTTTACAGAGTAATAATGGTAGGGAATTCGCGAATCAAGTTGTAACCGAAATTTGTAAAATGTGGCCAGAACTTAAAATAGTCCATGGTAAATCACTCACAGAGTCAAGGTTCAGTGGAACGAGCTAACCAAGACATCGAAAATATCCTTGCTATTTGGTTACAGGATAACAATACCAACAAATGGAGTGAAGGAATAAAATTTGATCAACTTATGAAGAATCGTGCATTACATCGCGGAATAAAATGCTCACCGTATGAAGCGATGTTTGGTATACAAGCTAAAATAAGACTAAAAAGTACGCTACTACCAAAAAGTATAATATGTAAATTAAAAACTGAAGAATATATTGAAACAGCTATTAATTCTATCGAAAATGTCGACCACATTGCCACCACCTAGAATAATGACGAAATCGGAGCAACAAATAACATAAATAATGAAGAAATCGAAGATGTCGACAGTATAATATAACAATTAAATTAATTTTAATAACTTTATTTAACATTAATTTTAACTTTAGGTGTGCCTTTAAGAATACAATCTATTCACGAAAAAAGAAATCAATCACTCCAAAATTTAAAAATTCAAGCCAATAAAATGAAACAAGTTTCTGAAAGTCGTTTTTGTCGTGGTGAAGTTGTCGAATCAGTAACGGTAAAAATTCCAGATGTTGATAGAGCACGCAGTGATTGTCGCAATATTATTGGAATTATACTTTCAGGTATTTATAAAAATATCTTATCACATTATGCCAAATTATAATAATTTATTTCTTGTAAAATTTCAGTAAATGACGACAATATGTACGAAATTGGTACGACGGAAGGTCGACTTTCAAATTTATACAGTCGAAATCAATTTGTAATTTGCAAGGAGTCATTTTTAAATATTGAAGATGTACCTCAAACAGTAAACATTTCAATGAGAGAGGCTGCCCGTAAATTTTCCAATTTAGGAGGTCAAGGCTACGAACGGTGTACATGTGCGCAAAAGTGTAAAACACGAAAATGTAAGTAAAAAGCAGCAAATAGACTATGTACATCAAAATGCCATTCAAGCAGTACATGTGAAAATAAATAATTTAATTTAATTTAATTTTTATTTTAATTAATTAGTATAAATAAAAATAATAATAATATAAAAATTAATTAATTATTAATTATGTAATTGTTAGAATAAATGTATTTCACAATATTTTAAATGTATAATTTAAGCTAATTTATCATTTATAAGAAAAAAAATAATATTAATATATTATATTATGTTATATTGATGATTATTAATTTTGTATAATAATGTAATATTAATAATTTGCAATAAAAACATAATATATTATGCAGATTATTTTGTATAAATACTTCACAATTTACATTGCCCATTATACCTCGGACATTGTATACATTGTCCGAATTTTCTACTTTGCCCGTAACATATATAATGATCTCAATATCTTTTAATGTACATTTTTATGTTGAAAGTTTCCAGAGAGTAAACAAATAATTGTACAATCAAGGAAAACTTATTATTTATAATCGTAAATTATTTTATTTTCATATCAATAAAAATAAATTTTAAATATAAGGCATTAAAATTATTTTAAAAATAATATGATTTTACGGTTTTACAAATTTTTTTCAGTTTCCATCGAGAAAATGAAAAATCCATAGTTTATTATTTATTTGGCTTTATGTCACTTTGTTACTTTGTTATATTGTGTTCACTCCTCGATTGTAGTTTTGAATGATATTTTACAAAAAAAAATTTTAAAAAAATACTCATCTAAAAACGTGTATAATTATTATAACTACTTAATATTTTTATTTTAGTTTATAGTTTTCATCTTACGATATTACAGCTTTTTCTTATTATATTTTTACCCTCTTACTATTGCTTTACTATTAGAAAGAATATGTATGTACATTTATATTGTACAATTTCAACAATTTATATATATATATATATTTATTTATTAAATAAAGAAACCATTGTAGCATTAAAACTACCTAAAACAATAAATCTTGACAGTATTATAGAAAGAAAATCAGGTTTGTTTTTATAATTCCGAAAAAATATTGTTAAATATTGTAGAAAATATTGTTAGACGGATGAACGCTGGATGAAAAATACAAGTGACATCAAAGGAACCTTATGCAATTGGTTCTTATAGTATCAAACAATAGTATCTCTATACATTTTATACAAAATATGGCTTTAAATCCCGTGGTGTATAAATGGGGAGGGGGGTTTCGGGATATTTTTTCTCGAGAAAGGACCAAATAAAAAAAAAATCAGTTTTAAACGGTCAGAATGAAAAATAAGAATACCAAGAATATTTTAACGTGTGTATAAAATGTAGTATTTGTAACATAAAAATAACCGTTTGATAATCACATGGAATCTATGTTACTATTTACAATTTAATATCATCCCCCTTCCACCATAAAAAAATTGAATATACGCCACTGCGTGGAACAATCATATATTAATTTATGTTTAAAAACCTTTTTAGCAAAATCGCCTCGAACCAGGGAACTCTGTTTACGCTCCGTAACGATAATGAATAATTATTTTTTTATTGAACGCAAATAGGCTTAAGTATAAGTCACAAAAATAGTGCAGTATAACAGTAACATAAAAACACAGTACAGTAAATCTTTAGTATCAAAGGATAAAGGACGGATCTTCATCGGCTCACCTCATCATACGATTATTTTTTTTAAATAGTTTGTTGTGCAATACGGAATGAAAATAATTTATATACTGCGAGTCCAACAAATATGAATCTTTTGTCAATAATTGATATAAAGATTTCTAATTAATAATTACTATCTAATATTAGAATAATTATTATTCTAATGCATTATAATATTATGTAAGAAATATGTGCAAGTAAGAATAATCTTTGCGATGTTTATTAACTTATATATGTGCTATGATTAATTCATATTATTTCATGTCTTAAATTAATACAATTTTTCTTATCATTTATTCAGTGTATTTACATTTAAGTAAAAGAGAATGAACGTTTTGATTAACGTTTTAAAGATTTACAATAAAAAAATAAAAATAAATGGTTAGAGCGTGTTAATAATTATGAATCCTCTATTTTCAGAATTCAGATTGGAGATCTTACTTGGTCGACCCGTATTTTGC